GATACTGAGTCCAAGTTTTGCTTGTACAGCCCAGAACATTGTCAATGGAAGAACATCAAAGAAATTTTTCTACACCCATAAAAATTCCCATACTAAAGCCCTAACAAATCTTTTGTCCACGTTTTCTTTCCTATTCCCATGACTGAACTTTGAGCTAGTTCTTTCTAAGCTTTGTAATAGTAAGATGATGTGAAAATTTGGGACTTTTAATAGAGTAATATTTCTTTATAGGCCAAAAAGAAAAGCATGTTTGCTTACCCCTACATCCATCCTCCCTTCTCTTGGTAACAATCTACTTTTCGTTTGGTTTTTACCATTCTCCCCACCCCAAGTAGCCAATAAGGGAATCTGATTCCACTCTTAATTCTAGGGGTGGGATGTGTGGGTCAGGCCTAAGGAAATAAGAGTCATCTTACATCCTCTGGCCACAGTGCAGGGTAGACGTGCAGCCTAATTTGAGCCAATAAGACTCGAGAAGCCATTTCCTGGGACCTCCTTAGGAAGACACTCTTTGTGTTTCTAGATAGGGTAATCTGATAAAAATTCTGGAATATTTACAGCTTATTTGCCGCATGAAGTTAATCTTGCTGTTGGATAAAGCTGACGTCACTGGAAACAGAGAACAGAGAGGGGAAAAACAAAACTACATTCTTTTTAAAATATATATATATCTTAATTGATTTCAGAGAGAGGAAGGGAGAGGGAAAGAGATAAAAACATCAATGATGAGAGTCATTGATCAGCTGCCTCCTGCATGCCCCCCCATGGGGATCGAGCCAGCAACCCAGGCATGTGCCCTGACTGGGAATGGAACCACTATCTCCTGGATCCTAAGCCGATGTTCAACCGCTCAGCCATACCCGGTTGTGCAAAAAAACCACATTCTTGGTAAGGTTGTTGAGCTATGAAGGAAACTACCACTGAGGAGTACAAGTTATGTGAAAAGTTGTTTTGGATTTTTTATTATTTGCTACTTAGAATCCTTAGTGATACAGACGCTAATATGGTGCTTGATAATTCTTATCTTTTGACCTCGTATTTCTTTTGGTCTCTACTCCCAAAGCAGTAGTGTAACTACAAAGGCATATTTCTCAATATTGTAGAAAGGACATTCTTCAAAGGAGGGATGGAAATAACAGGGATTGGCTTTGAAGATCTCAGCAGCTCTCTTTCTGATTCCTGACTTAGCCAGAAAGCACCATCTGATAGGAACATCTCTTGTAAGCCAACATTTTTGGAAAGCCTTTGGGGACATTTTAAATTAGTTGCAGTTATTCTCCGAAGATGAGTAAGGGATTAATCAAATTACCACAAAGAATTTACACCATTTTTTCTGATAAATTTATTTACTTCCTGGAGGGACAAATTTTAAGGTAATATTTATGGAAACAAAAACATGTATTTAACTTGAAAATCTGCTTAAATGTCGAAAGCTAATTCTTGTCCCATTTTCTGTTGAAAACATTTTGATGCTAATATGATAGCATAAGCGAAATTTGGGAAAGAGATGGATAATTGTTATCCTGAATGGTGTGGGGGGGTTCTGTTTTAGGTACAGTCCAAGTATAAGCAGTCTTGGTCTGGCACCTCCGTGGTGTCATACATCCAGTCTCCTTTGGTTTTGTTTCCCAGTCAAACTTTACATGCAGTTTCTATCCCACTGGTCATTCTAACTCCCACCATCAAGACCACCTGCCAGCCAATGGAAGAGAAAGAAGAGGAAGGCATACCTGTTCTCTTCAAAGACACATCGTAAAAATTGTACACTTCACTTCTGCTCATGTCTCATTGGTCAGAACTTAATCACATGACCACACTTAGCTGCAAGGGAGGCTAGCAAACATTATCCTTAGCTGGGGAGAGGGATGTGTTCCACTGAAACCTGGAGCTTTTATTACCAATGGAAGAATAGATTCAGGGGGACATAGCAATATGTGTCAGAATGATCTATTTTCCATAATTGTTTTAAATTCCCATTCTGACACTTCCAACATCTCTGCCATAGCTAAATTTTGTTCTAATGCTGGCTTTGTCTCTCCAAATTGTGTTTTTTGCCTTTTAGCATACCTTGTAATTTTTTGCTGAAAGCTGCACATGATGTAGTAGGTAAAAGAAACTAAGGTAAATAGGCCTTTGGTGTCAGGGTTTATGTTTATCTGGCTAGGAGTTAGGTTGTGGTTGTGTTTACTCTTTGCTGTTGCTGTGGTGTCAGAGATTCATCTACATTGTAGCATGTATCAGTATCACTCCTTTTTGTGACTGAATAATATTGCTGTGTATGGATATATTACAATTTCCGTAGCCATGCATCCATTGATGGGAATTTGGGTTTTTTTACCTCTTGGCTATTTGGCTATAATGTTGTTATAAGGAGTCATGTACAAGATTCTGTCTGGACATAGGTTTCCACCTCTCTTGGGTATATACCTGGAGGTAGAATTAGGAGTAGAATTGCTATCATGTGGTACTTCAATGTTTAACTTTTCGAGGACCTGCCAACCTGTTTTCCACAGTGGCTACACCATTTACATTCCCACCATCAATCTATAAGGGTCCCTATTTCTCCAAAATTTCTCCATATCATTGTCAACATTTGTCCTTTCCTTTCCCTTTTCCTTTTTTCCCCTTTTCCTTCCTTCCCTCCTTCTCCCCTCCCTCTCTCTTCTTTTTTTCTTTTTTTGCTTAAGGTCATCTTAGTGGGTATGACATAGTATCTCATTGCAGTTTTGATCTGAATTTCTGAAATGACCAATGATGATGTGCTTGTTAGCTATTTGTCAAGACTTCTGTATGTTATTAAAAAGTATTGAGGATCCCGAAGAGCTTTGTTTATATAGTTACATCTAGTGATACTTATGATATTTAGATACTAAAACCAAGACATTTAAAAAATATTGTTTATTAATTCCTTTTTAAAAAGTAATAAACTCATTGTATGTTAACATCAAAGTGATGACATGATCACATATCAGGTAACTTCGGGAAAACTCCATCATACACTTATAAGAGAATGCGAGTGAAAAAGGTAGGTAAACATCTTAATTATTATGAAAAAATTTTTGATCTCACAGTTTTCCCTCCCCCAAAATGAGTAATGATAATTCAATTCAATTTTACTCAAGAAAGATAAGTAAATTTTTGTTTTCCTTTTTTTTTGTTCTCACATGAGGATATTTTCTCCATTGCTTTTCAGAGAGAGAGGAAGGGAGGGGAGAGAGAGAGAGGGAGAAACATTGATGTGAGAGAGACACATTGACTGGTTGCCTCCTGCACACACCCCCACTAGGGGTGGGGATCAAACCCGCAAGCCAGGTAGGTGCCCTTGACCAGGAATCAAACCTGCAACCTTTTGATGGTTAGGCTGATGCTCTAACCACTGAGCCACATCAGGCAGGGCTAGATAACTAAATTTTTTTTTTTTTAATTTTATGGTCTGAGATTCCTCTCTACTTTAGTTTAACCAGAAAACACAAATTTGGGGTGGTGATGGAGGATATTGATAATGGAATATGTATGGTACTTGGCTGGTCACAGAAAGGAAAGAAAATGGTTCTTTAATCTGGATATGGACCTGCTGACACTTGCCCATTTTTTTCATAACACTTTCCTGCCCTTTCAGAAGTGATAACTGACTGCAGGTTTAAACTTTTCATTAATCGCCTTAGTCATGTGATTTTGTCCGACTGGGAGATCTCAGTCAACTCATTTTATAATTGAGCTCTTACGGAAGAGGCTGTACAAGAACTTCACTGAAATCCCAGCATCTGAAGCTTTTTTTTCCTGGTAGGCGTTGAGGATCAGTGGGCATGAAGAGGTATAACCAGTGGTTTTCAAAGTCTGTTACCTGGACCAGAATCATCAGCATCACCTGGAAGTTGTTAGAAATGTAAATTTTCAGGCCCACCCTAGGCCTGTTGACTCCAAAACTCTGGAGATGGTCCCAGCCATCTGTGTTTTAACAAGGCCTACAGGTGATTCTGATTTGCTAACAGTTGGAGGACCACTGGTATGACCTTTTCCATAGTTACATCCTGTCGGCATGATCTCCCTCCCCACTCCTCACTGCCTTCTTTCTTTCCTTCTTTCCATAAACATTGAATGTATTGATCTCTTATTGGGGGTTTTTATGACACTTATTTGGAAATGTACACATTTACACATTTGTATCTGTCTACAAACATCAAATTCTTGCAGGACAAATTCAGAATATCATTTATAGCAACCTCAAAGAAACTAACTCTTAATGAAACCTATTAGTAATGAATAGGTAACGCTTTTTAATAGGTATAATTCATTACCCAGGACCCAGTTTATTCTTCTTTTCCCAACATGAACTCCAGTAAAATCCTTTCAAGTATTAAAGCTCCACAATTCCAAGGGCTTGAGTGCGCTGTTTTGGTGTTACCCAAAGATAATTCTGCCATCACCTCTATTTTGAAATTCAAAACTGAAGGTTCAGTGGAGGGGGGCTAGTTTAGAGGACTGACCTAAGGACAAAAAGATGCATTCAACTGACCAGACCAGAGTTCTTACAGGGCATTCATTAAGGAATGTGACCAGGAGAATGGGCTAGTCAACCAAAGGCTGGGAAAGGATCTACATGGATCAAGGGACAAGGTCCTATTACATAGGCTAGAGAGAGAGAGTGTGTGTGTGTCTATTTACATTAGTGCTGGGGTTTTCCTTGGGTTGTCTAAACTGGGAAGTTGGGGTGAAATTAACATTAAGCTATTTTCTTTATACTATATAGGGTTGTGGAGAGAGTTCCTTGCCCATCAAGCTTTACACATACATGAAAATAAGAGTGAGAGTTCTGGTTATTCCTCCCTGTTCCACCAACGATGTACTTAGAAGCAGGTTGAGCTCACTCATTGATACTCCACAGCCAGCTTTGTGATGGGGTCACAGTTGCCTGTTTTTCTGCGATGTGACTTCAGAGTTTTTCAAAACCCAAGGGATCACAGGAGATGTAGCTTGGGTGAGTGTTTAACTTCTTTGATTTTGCTTGTGCTTCATGACTTCTGCTGGCTGTTCTCAGCTTCTTACCACTCTGGCTTTTCTAGATTGTTCTTCTACTCTTCCTCCTGTAGTGACATAACTAAGTCATAGTTATCGGTGTAACACTGCACCAAGGAAAACGTGGTTCCACCCTAAACTGATGTGGGTAGAACATTCAGCTAAGCCCACACTGACCTGCTAACTTAAAATTCCACCCCTCATACTGAAATCTGACCCCAAGGCTTCTTCATCCCACCAAGACTGCCCCAGGGTTCTTACAGCATGAAAATTCAATCATTGTGCAGTAAGTCAACCTGAGAAAGAGCCTGAGATAGCCCTTCCATTTTCCTGTCAGCTCCAGGACCGGACAGTTATAGGTGTGGAGGCTGAGTGTGTCTCAGGTAATGGACTACAGGATGGGCTCCGCTTGGGGGTTAATCCCCAAGGGGTTTACTACTCTAGATCCTCACGTTGCATTTCATCCCAGTGTAAAGTGACTACCCGGTTCCACTGTCACACTCTAACACCTGGACTCAGCCGAGTCATCCCTCTTCCTTAACCCTCACATCCAACCAGCTACCTTGACTTCCTTTATATAAGTCTTGATTCTTTTGCTCCTTTTTGACGTGTACGCACTGACCTAGCTCATGCTGTCATCATCTCCTATGTGGATTTATTCCATCATAATATAATCAAACTGCCACCACTGTTACCCACCTTAAATCCAGCCTCTGTTGTAGCCGGACCACTCAAAGGGCCAAAGCTACCATTTGTCCCATAAGTCAAGCTTCTGTGGTGCTCTCTGTTGCCCTCAGAATAGGGTCTAATCCCATCAGTCTGGCCTGATCTTCCATGACTTGGTCACTGTCCACCTCAGAACTTTAATGTCACCACTGCCCCAGCATGCTCTGTGTTCAGAACTGCTCGGCTTCTCCCAAACATTATGCTTCCTCTCACTGCTTTCCCTCTCCCCATGCTCCCTCTGCCCAGCAGCTATCTCCTGCCTTTTAAAAATCTGGCTTCAGGCATCTTTGGCATCTTCAACTCTAAAAGCCTTCTTGGCACCCCCCTGTAGGGTTAAGTGTCCTTTTTCTTTGTTCCTATAACACCTCAATCTTAGGACTCTTCCTCCATTAAATGTGTTTTTTCTCTCCCTCAAAAAAACCACTACATTTAAATTCTCTATTTTTTTCCCCCTTTTCCTCTACTAGTCTGTAAGCTCCTGAGAACAGAAGCCATTTGTATTTATCTTTGGGCCCCTAACAAGAGCCTGACACATGGCAGATACTCTTTTCTTTTTGAAAAATATATATACAGGGTGGGCAAAAGTAAGTTTACAGTTTGAGTATACAAAAGTTTTTTTCTTGTATTATTATTTATTAATTATTATATTACTTATTTGTATTATTATTGTTATTATTTTGTATCCTTATACTTTATCTTTTAGGTAATGATGGCTGGTAATTTAATCTACTTTTGCCCACCCCTGTATATTTTTATTGAATATATTGGCATTACATTGGTTAATAAAATTCAGATATTCTTGTAATAGTTTTTTCGAGATATAATTGACATATAACATTGTGTGAGTTCAAGGTGTAAACATGTTCGTTTGATACGTTTATATATCACAATATCATTGCCATTATAGCATTAGCTAACACCTCCATCATATTACATAATAATCATTTCTTTTTTATGGTCAGAATATTTAAGATCTATTCTCTCAGCAACTTTGAAGTATATAATACAGTACTGTTGACGATAATCACAATGCTGTGCATCTGATCTCTAAAACTTACTCATCTACTAACTGGGAATTTGTACCCTTTGACCAACATCTACATAGGAGATACTCTATACATTTTTTTAACTGTATGGAGGACAATAGTTGCAGAAAAGGAATAATAATAGCAACTAACTGTGCTAAGTGATTTTCATGAATTAAAAACTCTTAGTTTCTAACCAGCACTGCACTATAAGAACTTCCTGTGATGACAGAAATATAGATGTGGTTAGTGCAACTAATAAACTGAATTTTTAATTATATTTAATTTATTTATGTTTAAACTTAAATGTCCACATGTGACTTGTGGCTACCATATTGAACAGTACAGTACTTATTCTACCCAGTTTTTATTTAGCCCAGTTGGTTGCTTTCTGTCTACTTAGAGCTCCCATGGGGCAAGGCTCCAATAAGTGGTATGCTGGGAAATGTGTAACAACCAGCTCTGTGAAAAAGTTTGCTTATTTCATTGGTGTAAATACTCCCACCACGCCCAGTTTTAAGCTACCAATGTGACATTACTGAAAAGAATTGGAAAGAGATGTGCAGTAGTAAACCATTATGTAGTAATTTCTTGATATAGATGCAGTAGATGTGAATAACCCTGAGAATAAAGAAAGCAGTAAAATGTAGTAAAATAATTAGAAAAGTGATTACTTTTGACTATTTAATTTTGTATTTAATGTAATTTATTTCATTGTAAGTTTACATACTTTGATTTTTCATAATGGCTATGTTTAAAATCAGTTTGCAAAATTCCTAAAAATTTGACTTTGGCTCTCAGAAGCCAGTGTAAGCCAGCTCTGGCTCATCAAATGCAGGATTCTGTTTGACCATAAGAGGGCATTATCAGATGAAATTTGATTTTAGGAAGGATTTTGGACTAGTCTCTGACAGAGGAGTCAGTTTGAGTTTTCTGGAAGATTGTAATTCTGGAGGAGCTTGTCGAAACTCATGATTTTAGGCTGTTCTTTGTTTCACAACATAAATTCCAGAACCTTTACCACTCCCAAATAGCTTAATCCCTTTGTGTCTGATGGCTTTTGGTCTTTTAAGCTACCAAAATGAAAAGATCCCTGAGAGGTATTAATTAAGTCTTGTCACTGAAGGAAGGAGAGGATCTAACAAATATCTTATCAGGATCTTACTGGGGAGTTTATATCAGGGTTGGACAGAGTGTATGGGTAGGGATACTCTGCATTGTCAAAAGAGTGACATAATAGGTCTCTATAGTCTGCTGTCTAAAGGGAGGGAGAAGCTGGCCGTGTGTGTGTGTGTGTGTGTGTGTGTGTGTGTGTGTGTGTGTGTGTGTGAATTGATTTCACTCTCTTGATTCTTAGTCTGAGTACTGTTAGGCTCATTTAGTAGTTCTCCAAGTTTGGTTCCTGGAACAGAAGTATCAGTATCACTTGGGAATTTGCTAGAAATGTATATTTTTAGGCCCCATCCCAGACCTGCTAAATCAGAAACTCTGGGGGTGGGGCCTGCAGTCTGTTTGAACAAGCCCACCGGGAGATTCTGATGCCCATTCAAATTTGAGAACCACTGGCTTAGTGCTGAGTTGGCAAACTGGATGTGTATGTATTTGATGAATCTGAGTTGTTTTTTTGTTTGTTTGTTTGTTTGTTTTTTAAATATATCTTTATTGATTTCAGAGAGGGAGAGAGAGACATCAATGATGAGAGAGTCATTGGTCGAGCCCGCAACCTGGGCATGTGCCCTGACCGGGAATCGAACCCTGATCGCCTGGATCCTAGGTCGATGCTTAACCGCTGAGCCACACCCAGCCGGGCTGAGGAGTTTTTAAAAAGTACTTATTTCCTAGTCACACAAGGTTGTATATTGTATGATTCCACTTAAATGAAATGTCCAGAACAGGTAAATCCACAGAGATGGAAAGTAGATTAGTGGTTGCCAAGGTATGGGGGAAATGGGGAATTGGGAAGTTTGGGGTTTCTTTTGGGGGTGATGGAAATGTCCTAAGGTATAATTAGATAGTGGTGGTGCATATACAACATTATTAAAAAACCACAGAGTTATGCACTTGAAAATGGTTAAAATAATGAAACTTATCTCAACTGAAAAGAAAAATGTACTGATGCCTGGGGCCTACCCCCAGAGATTCTGGTTGAGGACCAAGCATTAGTATTTTTTAAAAATATCTCCTGTTGGGCCAGGCATGGCTCAGCGGTTGAGCACTGACCTATGATCCAGGAGATCACGGTTCAATTCCTGGTCAGAGCACATGCCCAGGTTGTAGGCTCCGCCCCAATGGGGGGTGTGCAGGAGGCAGCTGATCAATGACTCTCTCATCATTGATGTTTCTATCTCCCTCTCTCCTCCTCCTTCCTCTATCTGAAGTCAGTAAAGATATATATATATTTTTTAATCTCTTGCCCTGGCCAGTGTGGCTCAGGTGGTTGGAGCATTGTCCTGTGCACTGAAAGGTGGCAGGTTCAATTCCTGGTGAGGGCTTGTACCAAGGTTGCAGGTTCCATCACCAGTCAGGACATGTGCAGGAGGCAATCAATTGATGTCTCTCACATTGCTGTTTCTCTCTCCCTCCCTCTCTCTTTCTCTCAAATCAATTTTTAAAAAAATCTCCTGGTTGTTCCAATCCACAGCCAAGATTGATTGAGAATCTGAGTTAGTGCAAATAAGGCCACACATGGATCATGTTCCTGTCAAGGGAGCTCTGGTGTGAGTGTCTGCAGGAGGTAGGGTTAGGAGCACAGGAGAGGAGAAGCTCGGAGGGGACCTAACTTCCTTCTAGCCAGGTGATGGGGCAGAAATGTCTTGGGCTCTTGATTCAAGTTGCAGTGTGGGCCTTTGCTGTGCAATCTTGTTTACGTTACTTAATCTAAGATGTAGCTATAAGGTTTCTGAGAAGACAGATTGTGATAATGTTTATTAGACAAGCATTAAAACTGGTATACAGTACTCAACAAATGTTAGTTTCCTTTGCTATCCAAGTTCCCTGCGGCTTTAATTCTTGTTGATTGACTCTTTGGGAGTGCATACACTGGCCCATTCTCCCTCTACTACCCCCCAAACTGCTGGTGGGTAGTAGGAGGGTGGGGTGGGCTGGGGGCTCAGGTATCTCTACCCTGGTGTTTTTCCTACTCTGGCGTCATAGCTTGGGCAAGGGCCTTCTTGATATGGAACTCACCATCTCTGCTGCCACGTGAACGCACTCAGAAGGAGGATACTGATCAGCAGGAGAACGCAACTGGCCACTGTCAACAGAGAAGCCGCTGGTCAGCAAAGGCACGTCCTGGGCTAGGTCACAGAGCAGGCTGAGAACACCCCCCCATCCCCACCCCCATGAGCAAGGATTTCCTGAAGAGGTGGGCTCTGCAGTTTCTGATTTCCCCTCTCAGAATTCAGCTCCCTCCCCCGATTTCTTAGGAGACTCTAGAACTGAGTGAGGTGGCATGGATGGGGAAGGGGAAGGGCATGGAGCCTTTCCTCAAAGGGCTTTCAGGTGAGATCACACTGACAGACACTCTCTTCAGAAAGGTTGAGAGGCCAGGCTTCAGTTAAAGAGGCCATGAGTGTGGCCTGTGACAGGTAAAAGAAATACTGAAACATAAAGATAAGTGATAAACACTTTAGCATCTCTTGAAAGTGTTCATATTTCCCAAATAGTACTGGAGCGAGCCACCTATCTATGTGTCTATCTACCTATGTATCTATCTACTTACCTATCTACCTACCTACCTATCTTAGGTGTGCCTCAAAGCCTGTTCTTCATTCCCCCAGCTTTACTGAGATATAACTGACATATACATTGTGTGAGTTTAAGGTCTAAAACATGTTGATTTGATACATTTACATATTGCCATATGATTTCCACCATAGCATTAGCTAGCACCTCCATCACATCACATAACTACCTTTTCCTTTTTGTGGTGAGATTATGTACAATCTAGTCTTTTAGCAACTTTCAAATATACAATATGGTATTGTTAACTATAATCACCATGCTGTACATTCCATCCCCAGAACTTATCTTCTGATGTAAGTGTGTGCCCTCTGACCACCATCTCCCTTTTTGCCCCAGGCCCTAGCTGATCACCATTCTACTCTCTTTCTAGGAGCTTGTTTCTATTTTTATTTTTTCTTGCCACAAAGCATGTTATTTTCCTCCTACCAGGAAACAACTGTAGTGTTTAAGGGATGGGTTTTTTTCCATTCCCTGGTTATACCACCTTCCTCCCTCTTTGCCTCTCCCCTCACATACAGGCACAGGGTATTTTGTCATTTAGGATCCATTCAGGAGGAACTGATTGGGGCTGGTTTGAGACTTCACTAACAACTTACTGTAAGTGATTTTAGGTAACGTTAATTTCTGGGTTAGTCTTTTACTCTTACAAACATATAGTGTGAATAGGGGGTCATGTTAAACAACTAACTCACCCACCCACCCAGCAACACACTCCACAGTCTCTGTCTGGTGTACATTTTGTCAATAACAGAAGTGACTCCTACGCACCTGCTATCTGGTACTCGGTGGTAAATATGAACATCTCCGTGGGTGTATCCACTTCTGTATGTTTTTTAAAATCTGTGCAAAAGAGAGAAAGGAAGATGTTCTGTTTAGGCAATTATTGGACTGCACAGGCTGGAGAGTGCTAGGACTTCTCCCTAGAACCTCAGAGACTGGTGGAAGGGATGTAAAAGACAAGGGGAGGCTGTATGCAAGCACTTTGTTCTTCTGCCTCGAGACACTGCTCTCTGTCTGGTGTCTCTTGACACTTGCTTCCCAGCATATGAGGATTGGGAGGTCAGATGCAGACACCTGATCGTCTTTAACATCCAGGGGGCAGCTGTGGCCCATCTGCTGGCAGGGCTGCACCAGGAAAACTGCCTTTCCTTTCTCCCATTTGATTTAATGGCCAAGCTCTTATCTTCATAGAAACAAACTCTAGCCATACCTATAGTAGTACCTGCCGTTATCAAGGGCCAGGGAGTTTCACTTCCAGAAGGAGTATCTGTGCTTGTTTGAGACTCTTCATCACCTGGAGGAGAGAGTAAGTGATGCTCATGGAACTGAAGCTGGGGGAAGTGGGGTCTCACATCGAACCCCACCTGTCCTCCTCAGCTGACTCCGGACACACTAGCTAAGATGTGAATCTCAGTTCTGGGTATATTATCTGTGGGTGCCACGTCACACGGCTCTACATCAGAGTCACAAGGAAGTGGGTAAGTGGCCCCAGCAGAGACCAGTGAGGGGGAATTCTAATTCTGATCCTGGTTTTCCATAGAACTTTGAGAAACTCTTCCCCCCCCC